ATTCTGCATAATTAAGGGCGTGGCCACTTGAGTGACAGGTGGATTGCCGCTGCTGTCATCGCCGTCGAGCTAAGTGGGCGTGGTTTCAGCAACCAGCTCCCGCCTCCTTGCCCATTTTTTATTATCCTGGAGTGACACGCTGCCAAGATGGCTCCGCCCGGCTCCGCCCACTTCCGCTAACAGGCAGCTCTTTCTCCAGCTGGAAACCGGACTGCAGCGAGTCGTGACCCGTGGGTCTGCTAAGCGCTCGCACCTGTATGGAGCCTCTGTGCAGCGGACCAACTGACCCCTGCCCCAGGAGAGAAGGAATGTCCCACACAAGAGTCGGATTCAGCCCTCACACCCCCACCTTAAACAGCTAATCTCTCCGGTGCGCTGTGGTGTTTAGAAGTACCCTGATAGCACACGTACATCACTCACATATTTTTAGAGTGTTTGCTCATCCGCAATACGTCTATTGGACGTTTCCTATCAGTTGTCAAACATATGTATTTTAGATAATAATAGTAATAATAATAATAATGTTTATTTTATATAGCGCATTTCTGCAAACTCAAGGTCGCTTTACAATATCAAAACAGATAAACATGACAGCAGAAAAAAAATAAAAATAAAAATACAGATAGACATGAAATCCATGGCATGAATCAGATCATGCAGTCAGAGATCAGAGAAACAAGAAAGGAAAAGATATGTTTTAGAGTGGGTTTTGAAATCCTGTAATGAAGAAAGATCATGTATGTGTTTGGGAATAGAATTCCAGAGTGTGGGGGCAGAGATACAAAACCCTCGTCCACCAAACGATGCTAACCTGTGGTGTGGAATTAACAGTAGACCAGTATCTGAAGAGCGTAGTGTGCGAACTGGGGAGTAAGTATGAATGAGATCAGAAATATATGGGGGTGCTTTGAAGGTGATGAGGAGAATCTTGCATTGAATACGAAAACGAATGGGTAGCCAATGAAGTCTGTGTCGATGGGAGTAATGTGAGAAGATTTCTTTGAAAAAGTGGGAACCCTAGCTGCAGAGTTCTGGATATATTGGAGCTTATTTAATGTTGTGTTTGGTAGACCACAGAAAAGAGAATTACAGTAGTCGAGTCGAGAAGTAATGAAGGCATGAACCAGTGTCTCAGCATCACTGATATTTAAGAGGGGACGTAAGCGAGCGATATTACGGAGGTGAAAGAAGGCAGATTTAGCGAGTCAAGAAATGTGAGGTAGGAAGGAGAGAGAAGAGTCAAAGATTATACCCAGGTTTTTAATGGTGGTGGA